ATCAAGTTCTGATTTAGTTGACGTGACGCTACCGAACTCTCTCGTTCAGAACCTGAGTAAAGGCTTGGACAGCCCAATCATCGGTAACCGGGGTAGGTCCATGCGTTCCATCTGAAATCGAGATACAAATTCCCTTATCATTTCATTGTCTTTTTCTCTCACTTTGAAGAGGTCCAACATCCTAGTCGCGACCTTTATTGCTCCGGCGTGTGCCTTTACGAACGAATCGACGAGCATGGCGAAAGAAACGATGGAAATGGGCGGCAAATTGTGGTACCATATCATTGCCCCAATCGACAAAGTTTCTCCAAATTTCTTCAGCAGAACGGATTCAATCTCATCATCTTCTCAGTCATTTCCCTTTATCCCGCATGTGTACGAGGTGATGTTTCAATAGGATCGGTGGTCCCGTTTAACTTGGGGATGTCCCGCATACGGAACTTCTTAGGAATGGGCTTTGGAGTCGTACTTTGAGGAAAAGGCTTTTGCACGATTTCTTCGAATCCAAACCCTTTAGGATCGGGGGTGCCCCTGGTATTTGATCAACTCGTGAGTTGTACGGGTCTACCTTTTTGTCATTAGCCTTGATTTTCTTTTACCTGATTCTATCCGTTTCGTGAGCTCTCGAGCATCTTCATGACAGCAGGATCAGTCCCAGATCCATTATCGTTCAATTTCTCCTGTACTGGTTTGACCCTATGAACAACTTCCTGCGATGTATCGAGTTCGATTCTGCTTGGTGCCCGATTCTGGAGTTGTGCTATTGCAACCTGCTGAGTTTGTAGCGTGTCAAATATCATTCGAAGGCTAATTCCGCCTTCTTCACCATTTTATGTGTTCCGATCAGCTACTCGAGTGTCTCTGCGGATGTTGTTTTCAAAGTCGGCGCCTAAATCTCCACGAATGGCGACATAAGAATTGATATCAACCGGATCCACGACATGTGATGCGTCGGGATTGATTGGAGGTGCTCCATTTCCCGGGGCTACTACGTGTTCGTTTTCGCCATAAAGACCAAGGCGGGTGTCAGTGTGAGTGGGTACTGCTTGAGAGTTTGACATGTTGATTCCTGAAATAAAAATACTCACAAGAACAAGCGTAAAAGCAGTGTGTGTTATGAAGGCTAAAATATTAAGCAATCACTATTATCCTTAGCCCCACGGTGGCCGCCAAACTGTTTACCCTAAAAATTGAGTAACAATTAAACTTGTAATGTGATTTTAAAGATACGTGATTTCACTTACTATTAATTGGTTATTTTGAGATAAGTGATGAAATTGATAAGAATATAGAACAAACCGACTTTTGGACAGTATCCTCGAGCTTGATGAACCCTCGGGAATAATAAAGCAAGAATAGTTAAAGAACAAAAGTTGAAGAACAATAATTAAATAGCAGTGAGCTGATGAGCAGAAGAAAGAAATATATATATATATTTCCTTGATTTGTAGGAATGTGAGAGAGCCTACAAATGATGGGGACCCCTCTTTATATACTAGAGGAATCCTAATTGAGGTACAATTCGAATTACAGAAGTACATCCCATGATTGAAGGAAATAACCGCCCTTGATTTGATCCATTCCGAGATTTCCGTCGTGATCTTCGACCGGCTGCGAATATTTCGTCTTTCCGTTATTGTGTTCCGCTCGAAGCTGGTCATATCCGGTCTCGACCGTCAGGGACCTCGATCTCGACGAGTTCCTCGATCCCTGAACTCGGCACCTTTTCTCCGTGTCCAGGTCTTATCCATTACGAGGCTGACCCTCGATGCAATTCTCTAGCCTCGAAATAACGACAATATCAGGTAAGCCCGATTTTACCCGTATACCATAAATGTGATAAGTTAATGAAATGTTATCTAGACCTTTTGAAGCATTTTGCGCCAATTTCATTAGTTACTAGGAATTAAAGAGCTATTATATCTTTTTGAAGCCATATGCTACGCTTATCTAAAATGACATTTGACACTACCATAAATTGGCATATTAGCACACATCCCCTTGATCTTGGAATCGTTTAATTACACAGTATTTTGATTAGGATTGAATCGACAAGTAATTCGTAAAATATCATAGATTAGTGATTCTTAGTTTTGTTGTAATCTGGCTTATATGCTTCTAATTGTCCACTAAAAAAAGAGGAGATTTAAATATTCAATTTAATATGCTAAGCTTTCTGTGCTAAGTCCAAGTGCATAGGCTACTTTATTACTAGCACACTTTCAAATTTTAGTTGGTTGTTGGAAAATTAGTGATATCTCAAAATGTAATGTCTATTTTGTTTTGTAAATTTTTTCTTTTTGAAATATTATTTATATTTATATTTACTTATTATTTAGTAAGTTATTTTATGATTAATAGAGCCAAACTAGCCGTTGGAGCAACACATGTATAAACATAATCTTTGAAAAGCTAAAGACACGCTTTTTAATACAACTTTCTGAATCATCTTTTCCTCCTATATGCTGGGCTTCTTTCTTGAGTTTCCTGCTACTTTTGTTCCCAGTTTAATAACAAAAAGAACTTGTTAAATCTTGGGGAATACGCCTTATTTTATTCATTACTGTATGAGCGAATATCTTTAGGGAATAAGAAAGACTCTTATCCCCCATAACCAACTTTTCCAACGGGTGCGACGTAGAACAGACTCTACCTGGCCCTGGTTCTTAGATGCCTACTCGTAGTACATTCACGGGCAGGCACACATTTCCAAGAGTATCGTTGGATTCCATAGGAGGATCGTTACAATCATAAAACTGGGGGTGTACCTGGATCGGGTTGGTTCGGTTTTTAGCAAAATCAAACCAAACCAAACCAAACCAACTATATCGGTTTGGATTGGTTCGATTTTGTCGGATTTTTTGGATATTCGGGTTTTTTTTTACATGAATATTATTCGAATCTTACTTTATTAAAGTTATAGATAAAGTTTTGATTAGTGAATATATGTTTAGTAAATATTGAAAAAATTGACAAATATATGATCTATCAAAATATTCCAATAGGAGAATTTTGTTAGTAACACATGATAGTTATTTTCTTAGTCGTCTATCAATAATTTCCGTCAATGTACGCTTTCAAGGTTAACACATGAAAGATCCCAAATATTTCTACATTTTTTTTTAAAGAAAATTCAATATAAAGTCTTCAAAATATATATAAAAAATTATATATTTATATATCGGTTTGGTTCGGGTTTTTTTACTCAATACCAAACCAAGTCAAACCAAACCTACTCGGGTTTTTTAATCGGTTTGGTTTGATTTTTCGGTTTGGTGCGGTTTCCCGGTTCGGTTTGAATACCCCTACATGAAACAATGAAAGAATTAGGAAATTGCTTCATGTTAAGAGCCTGTTTGGATGGACTTGTTTTAAATAACCTTTAAGCCAAAAACCATAAGTTAGGAATTTTAACTTTTGGTTTTGGTTTATTTTTGTCATTTTAGCGTAAAAACAAATGATTAAAAGCACTTTATTACTTTATCCAAATACTACAAAATGACATAAAACTATTTTGATTTAAAAATACTTAAAATAAGCCAATTCAAACGGGCTCTAAGCCTCACCCACAGGGCAGATGTAGCCTCTTAGGCTACTGGTTCAACTGAACTTATCACTTTCACTACGATGAAGTATAAATTTATATGAAAAAATCTACTAAATCTCAACAAATAATAGATTTAAACCTATAATTTTAAAAGTATAATAAATTCAATGCTAAAAAACTTAAAATTGAACTTAAATTTAAATCCTAAATTTCCTTTACTCGTCCCACCACTACAGTTAAATCTTAACGCTTCCTTCGTCTTCCTATGCTTTCAGCCCAACAACCTGTCACCTACCCACCACTAACTCTCCCCCACACCAGTCATGTCTTTTACCTAACATCCCTTGTTTTCATACCCTCTTGAGAGGATGGCCAACTAGCCTTTCTTTTCTTTCTTAAATGATTCACCCAAGCAGATTTGATTAGCAAATAAAATTATGTTGGAATGATGATACCGTTTGACTCAAAAAGTTGTATTATACTTTCTAAGCAAATCAATCAATGTAAATGAAGGGGTAAATCATAGCCAACCATAATTACTACTGGATCAAAGAACAGAATCATAAAAATAGAAGAGTCAATTGAAATGACACTTGGGAGGTTTTATTGATTATAGAAATTCGGTCTGCCTCTCCTTGAAGAGGTTCAGGAGATTACAATCAAATTATTTCTTCCTCTCTCGTTGGAGGTGAAATCTCTCTCTCTTTGTATAGGCTCAGTCTCTCTTTCGTGGAGTTCTCCCATTATTTCCACTGTTTCACGATCATCGAAAGTCCACCCCCTATTAAGGGGTTCTTCTGCCCTCTATTTATAGCCCAGAGCTGCTCGTGCTCATCATATTTTATTTGGGCCGGGTCAAGGAGGTGACCTCCCCTCATGGGGAGGCCTCGACCTAGACGCTTATGTCGTAAATAGCAACGATTAGATGAAGTCGAGTTCGTTGATTACTACTGCAGGGTGGTCGGGACGGGGTCCTTGCTGCTTTGGTCGTGTGGTCAGATTCTGACCAATACAGATACGAGACGATGATTTTTAAGATTAATAATTCTTAGATTATATACAGTATAAACATATCTTGGGTTTGTTGTATTAAAAATGGAATATGCACTATAAAATCTGAAAGATGTGTTTGGCTTTAAGTTATATAACCTTTGGTTTCCAATTTTAAATTAAAATGACTTTCTTTGAGAAGCTAAAAGGGTTTTGATTACTTGTTTAATTAAGTCACAAGTTTTTAATCCACCTTCAGACATAATTCGCCTTCTTGGCTTAGTAGCCAAATTTGATAGAGTTCAACATGTTCCCGAGTTTGTTATAAAAACTAAAGAAGACTTTGATCTACTTGCCCACTCAGTTTACTCCTTTTTCCTAGCTTGCGTTTGTCTTCTTCAAAATACTCTTTTTTCCAAACAAAATGATATATAGTAATATTCACACGGCTAGACACAATGCATTTCCTTGCTAAAGAACATGGAATTTATTGAAGCAAAATCTCATACTTTTAATGAGTGGTGGCAAAACAATTAGGAATATCTCGAAAATTGAGTTCCACGAGACGCCTCTAAATAGAAAAATGCCAACGCTGATTCACCAATGCACTCATTATTGTCACCAACAGGTCTGCCAATTTGCAGTATAATATTTAGTCGGCATATGCAAATGAGTGAATTGAAAGAATAGTCCCACGTGAAGAAGCAACTTGTAAACACCAAAAGTAGGTTATAGCAAGCATCGAGGTCTCATCAACTGTCATCATTCATACAGTCCAAAATTAAACAACTTCAAATTAACATCTTTAATTGTTAATTAACCTAATTACTCTATGTACTGCTCTATTACCAAAATACCTATCGAGCGCACATCCATGGCTTAAGCATGCTTGGTCTGTGGATCATCCTTCTTCCACCACCAGACAATCCTAAAAGAACAAGGAAACAGAGATTAAACTAGTTAACATCTCAAATAGCTTCTATGCACAATAAAAAGAGCCTTTCTTGGAGGCAACACAATAGCAAAGTTCACTCACATGAAGCCTTATTTACAAAAACTAGGCAAGGAAGGAATGCTGACTTAAAAGACACCTCCCATTAAAGAAGGAACATCATCAAAGGACCATAAGTCCATAGCATTTTCACCATCCTGAGTTGCACTTGAGTTGAGGAAAGTATCAACTGATGCATCCCAATTTCCCTCCAGATATGGGATCTGAAGGAACTTCATCTGGGATTCAAAAGCTGAAAGCTCTTCAGATAGCTTGTTCGCCGTATTTTCATCATCAGCAACTGGATTAATGGGGCTTGATTTCACTTTTTTCATTGGACTGGCATCGTCTTCAACAAGTTGAGATTCATTGCTTTCAATAGCAGCTGACAGAACGGATGATATCTCTGGAGTCCTGGCACATGGCTCTCCCCAACAAAAATCAGAGCAGTCAAAAGAGTTACTTCCTACATCAGAGTTGAAGTAGATATCAGTACCAGCTGAAGGGGCAAATGAGCCGAATCCAGTATCTCCAGAAGTACTTCTCCCATCCTCATATCCATACTGCTTTGTCATGGGTTTCTCTTCAAGAAATCCCAAAGAATCATAACAGCCATCCTCCATGTTGTTTATGATAGTCTGGTCGGGCTGAACCGAGTCCAGGCTCTCCTTAGGAAGGACCTTCTGAGGATTCAGCTTAACAGTACGTCTTGAGGCAGGCACTGGAGCTTCATTGGGAAAGTTTACCTTAGCTTTATTGCCTCTGATCCTCCTTGCCTCAACATCATAAGCTCTGGCAGCTTCTTCTGCAGTATTGAAAGTTCCCAGCCAGACCCGAACCCCTTTTCTTGGGTCACGTATTTCAGCTGCCCACTTACCCCAAGGTCGCTGTCTGATCCCCCTATACTGATTCTTCCTCTTTCTCTTAGACGATCTATCAGCATCCTTGTCTGAATCAACAGTTTTCACAGCTTTGGAGCCTTCAACTAATAAAATGAATCAAGTATTTTAATCATCCATTATGCTACTACAAGTTGCAATGACTAATTGATAAAATAGCATGATATATAGATAAGCATAACGCATAAGATGCCTAATTACAAGGAAAACACACAGCACACGTTCCCTGATATCAGTGGTGCTAGATTACTACAGCCAACAGCTTACACAAAAACACAACAATCAATTCTTCCCAAAATCTCTAAGTATCATGATTAACAACCACAGAACTGAGAAAACCTAGATCTAAGCTTATTACCTGATCAAGTCGTGTTCTTTTAGTTCTTTCTATAAGCATAATGAAGTAAAATCTCTGGAGGTACAGAGCTCATAATCCAGAGATCCTGCTCCCAAAAGTAACTATTTAGCAATCAAATTGGAGCTAAACAGGAGATTTTTACCCAAATAAACAACAAACAGATAAAAACATTGATTTTTATAACCATTTTTTGGTTTAAAAGTCTTCTATTCATAAAGTTTTCCAGCCAAATTCAATGTGATGATGTAGATGTTGATGAGTATTAAAGTTGATAATAAGACATAATAAACGTAGAAGTTAGAGGAAAAAAAGCATGATTAACTTTCTGTTTTGGTGCCAACGAGCCCTCAGATTAAAGGTTCTATCAATGCTTTTCAAGACATGAATGTATATCCAAATATCTATCTTTATTTTTGCACTAACCAGGATTCATTGTTTCAGTTAATCAAGTAAAAATTAAAAACAGTATCTTCACTCCTACCTCTTTTTACATGCCGCACATTTTTTTTCTCAATTACCAAAAAGTTACCTCCTTTAGTCCACTTGAATAACTTCAAATCAAATATAACAATAACTTCACCAGCAGACACAAAATCTCATGCCAAAAATAGCTACAGTAGTCGTTATCAATCAATTTAATGAACTATTCACTATTTCCTTCCCGCAGAAGATCACAAAAGAGGAAAACAAGGTATTTTTTTTTAAATAAAAGAACAAAAGAAGAAAAAATACCAGTAGAGCTTTTCGAAGCAGAGAAGGCAAATGGCTTGACATCGACTTGAACAGCCTCATCATCGGAGAAATCTTTGAAATCCTGAAAATCAGCCTCGAAGTCATCGTCAAGGTCAACTACTTGGGATCTCAACGGCTTGGAGTGATAATTGTTAGGATTTTTTTGCTTCTTACTCAGATCGGACCGGCCCCATAGCAACTCGGCGGTGAGCCGGCGAGAAGTCCGGCTCGGGGCAATGTAATCGGAGATTATAGCACCACCACACATGCTTTTTGTTTTCTCTCAGCAGAAAAGTTTTTTGCAGAAATCAGTTTTGTTTTTGACGGAGTAAACTTTTTTCTTTTTGACGGAAAATGTATCTAGAAAGCTCTTGGCTGCGTCTCCAAGAAATGCCAGCTCTTATTTATAAAGGGACGAGGGCAAGGCGGAGAGCTTGCCTTAGGATTTACCTTAATGCCCCTCGGAGAGGCAGTACTTACCAAAACTACCCTTCACTCAGAGGGTTAATAATGTCATTACAAATATTTTAAGTGCCTCTTATTTTTCCTTTTGAGGTGTGTGTAAAGATGGAAAATATTTTCATCAATTATAAATATTTTCTTGTGTTTGATTATCGTGTAATGATTTGTTGTTAATAATTTTGAATTGTGACAAAGTTTTTTTTTTTTTTTTGAGAGAAACTATTCTTTATCAAAAAGGAGAGAAATATTTCAGTACTTGACTACTTGTACATTGTCGTCTATCTTTAATAATAATTGAAAAATATTATCGGGCTCTATCAACATACCTTGCTATATTTATTGTAAAAATTCCGTACATAAAAATTCTTCTTGTAATTTAATACTAAAAAATTATTCAGAAAATAGTCTTTTACTGAAAATATTACACGAAAAAAACTATCTACAAATAGTGTTATTCTTCATATAAAGTGCTCGTATTGCACGTAACATTCTTACGAATTAATCAAGTGGTCACATATTTGAATTGAATCTTAATGTAACTGAATTATACATCTCACGATAAAAATGCCTACTATCCTACTGTAAATTTACAAGAACAAACTGAAAGTTGGTAATTGTTATATTTACAATAAGAATAGTTACTATTTTATACCCTTAGACTTACTCACCTTTTTTTTTCATTCATTAACATGAGCAGCAAACCGAACTAAATAGTATTAAACTTCAATAAAGTAGGTTAAGAACTATGAGATCTTTTAAACTAAAATTTAGAAAAAAAATTGTAAGATTTCAGGTTCAAATTCTATGAAAGCAAAAACATTAACTGATTTATTCTCATATGCCTATTGATCACGCCCAACTATGCCGTATAAAAGGACAATGCGATCGCTGCAAATATAATCCGGTTTACAAGTCCGGAGTCGAATCCCACAGAGAGTTAACCTATCAACTGCTACCTTCAGACCCACCAAGTCTTCAGAACCAGCTTCCCAAATATTCAAATTCTCAGTTGATTGTTCTTTAATAACTAACTTGCAAGTAAATAAAAGGCTATAACAAAATTAGAAGGGTTGTAAACAATTATGAAAAAAGGCTAAGGCAATGATTTCCCCTATTGATGAAATCCCTTCTGTTTATGCTCATACAAATTTATCCACACATCTCTATCAATCTTGAACGCTAATCTTACCGCAAATCTCTCCCGATTAATCACAGTAATCTACTATTGCACTCTCCCGAGATACACTAGCTTGCTTTATTTCGCACAATTCAATTTAAATTGCACCCAAGGCTTCGTTATTCCTAATCCCGCCTTTAAACCCGCAATTATAGATTCCTCTAATAATCTAGGAGTGGTGTTGTTCAACAATACCCTAAATATGAACTCTTTTCCAAGTTATGCACACTAAATAGGCACAGCTAATTGAGGATCCTGTCAATTAACTACAACGAACACGAAGTTGAACAAATAAAGATTTAACTAGCAATTTGTATTCACATAAACAAGAAGTTCATCACCCAATAGGTTCCATCAAAGCCTTAGACAAGGAATTTAGCTACTCATGACTATGGGAGAATAAACTAAGCTTGAATTCATCATAAAATCAAAAGAAAAGAAGAAAGATGTTTAGAGTACTTTCTCACAATTATTTTTCTTGCTAAGAACCCTTAGAAATCAGTACATGCCTCTCTTGGGCGAAGTCTAGCGTTTTAAATAGGGTTTAGGTCTAAAAATCCCGTGTTTTACACTTAAGTCCCCGAAGTTTACTGTGCCCACCGCGGTTCTACCGCGGTCGCGGTAGAACCGCGGTCAAACGCCTTCGCGGAATCTTCAACCTTCAGAGACTGCCTTCCATCGCGGTTTCACCGCGGTCGCGGTAGAACCGCGGTGGAACTTGTACCCGGGCATTTTGGCCTGTTTTGAATGGGTTACTTGGGAAATTCAACAATTAGCCTCTTTTCATCAATAATTGACTCCAAAACCGCTCCTTAGCCTTCCTTACACCTATATCACCTGCAAATCATGTAAAGCACTAAGAAGAGCATTTTGTTGTCATTTTCCACATTAAAAGTTCACAAGAAGGTGATTATTTGGTGCGTGATTATAGTCAAATTCACCTATTATCAACACCCCACACTTAAACCTTTGCTCGTCCTCGAGCAACTAAACCACACTTCTATACCTAACTGTGCACTGTATTGCCCCGATTTATGTCACACCTGCTATTATCAAAGATCGACCCAAGCAGTGCTCAATCATATCTCAAATGCAGACTCTCATGCCAAGACACACTTGTGCTCACTCTAATTACTCTAACAGAAGTGAAGACTCACTTTTTCTTCCTGAGTCACATGCCCTCACATAAACACGATTTGAGAGTAATTCCCACACACATAAAATTCAACAATAAGGAACCATATATAGAAAGAATTCACTCACTCTCAGCAAAGAGCATTCACATGCCACACAGACACACCATAAGCTTGCCCCTAGTGTAATACTCCACTAATCGAGTCATTCAGTCAAAGATCAAGAGGTCTTTATAGGTTGTAATGTAGGCTAAGGGACGGGTAGGATATATTTGGATATAGTGACTAACCTCCCTAAGCACTTTTAATACACACTTCCTTTTATTTTACTTCCATGATCAACCCACTTGTTTCTCCACATTTTGTTTCACTTGCGCCACCCCACTTCTCGTTTGGTACAACTGGCTACTTTTCTTTTTCTCTTTTCTCTCTCTCTTTTTTTTTTCAGATTTATTATACACTGCCAGTTCACCAATCCGACCTTCATTCTTGATTTTCCCTTCTTTTTTTTTCTTTTTTTTTTTCTTTCTCCCCACCCCACACTTTGACTTTTGTATCTATTTTAGTGCTTCAAGTGCTTCTAGGAGGGAAGAGTTCAATTAGCGTATTTAAACACCACATTTTAGATCATTATAGGGTTATCAAAGAAAAGGCTTCAGGCTCAAAAGGGGTTAACTATGGTAATATGCACAGGTGGATTTTCAAGTATAAAGGGTTAAACAAAGAAATGCCTCAATCATCTCTAAAACCAAACAACTTCTATTTCGCTTTGCAAACACACAGGGCAAGTTCTAGGCATCATATGCAAACATTAGATGCAAGTAACAGCTCACACACACTTAGCATGTAACTCATTCCGAATCAGTTCATCAACACAATCATACGAGTGTTCAAGCAAGTCAAGATGTGCACAATTAAGGCATATATTATGAGTCCACAAACAAGCTTAGATGTCACACACTCAGGTT